TTAAAAAAACAATTGAAAAAATGGAAAGGAAATTATGAACGATCACTGATTTAAGAAAAAAAAAAAGAGAAAAACTGAGAACTTCCAGTAGTATGAGGGCATAAGACACACACTACTTTCACCAGGCAAACACTGGAAACTGGAAAAATGGAATTGTTTGTAAAGGACCTTATCCTCCTCAGAGCACAGTGAGACAGTGCTCATGAAAAATTCCTCAATAGCAAAAAAACAAAAAAAAAATCCCAACACAAAAATATCTCTGGGTCTGCCTCCTTCATTGTTCAACAGCAGCAGTTTAGAGAAGACTTCTTATCCCCCATCACAATGAGGTTCACACCACAAAAGGTAAGCAAAGAGACTGAAGAAGCTCCATCACAAAGCATTCAGCCCTCAGGTCCTTACAACCAGAGCCACCTCCTCAACCCACCTGAGAAATAAACCATTTCCAGTTCTCTCAAAATGTACAAAGAAACAATTCTACTCTTATACAAAGATGAGGACAAAGAATGCCTCACTTAAGAGGAAAAAAACCCAAAAAACAATTAATGGAGAGTTCCAAAAGGACTTCGCACTGTTGTGGGCAGAATGGAAGCTTTGGACAACATTTACAAAGGAAGCCTTTCTATTGATTGGTAAGGTTCAGAAAGGACCACCTTGATTTCTAAATTCCTTCTCAGAGAAGACTCTGGGAACGGATTTATTCAATCATAGTCTCAGACTTGGCCAATGGTTTATGTCTGAAGAATTACACAGACGTAAGTGAGCCTTCATATGACTCTGTCCCACAGGATTAGGGACATATTCATATAGGAATAATGTTGCTCAAAGAGAAAATAAATGATTAAAATTAATAATCATAATGATTGGACTAAAGAACTTTAATCAGAATTATCTATTACACATCAAAGGGACTTGTAATTACTTGTATAGTGCACTATTGACCAAATCAATATTTCAAAGCCACCTTAATAATAATACTAGAGAATGATGTAACTCATCTAAGGACCAGGAGCAAATCC